AGGGTCAAGGAAACTGAGAGCTGGTTCTTTGAAAAGATAAACAAAATTGTCAAACCCTTAGCCAGACCCACTAAAAAACAGAGAGAGAGAGAAGGCTCAAATAAATAAAATCAGAAATGAAAGAGGAGCAATTACAATGGATATTGCAGAAATACAAAGGATTATAAGAGAATACTATGAAAAACTGTATGCCCAGAAATTGGACAACCTAGAAGAAATGGATAAATTCTTAGACTCATACAACGTCCCAAAACTGAATCAAGAAATAGAGAATCTGAATAGACCAATCACAAGTAAAGAGATCAAAACAGTAATCAAAAACCTCCCAAAAAACAAAAGTCCAGGACCAGATGGCTTCTCTGGAGAATTCTACCAAACAATTAAGGAAGATTTAATACCTATCCTGCTCAAATTATTCTAAAAAATTGAAGATGGAACACTTCCTAACTCATTCTAAGAGACCAACATTACCCTGATACCAAAACCAGGCAAGGGCAGCACAAAGAAGGAAAATTACAGACCAATATTGATGATAAACATAAATACAAAAACCCTCAACAAAATATTGGCAAACCAAATACAGCAATACATTAAAAAGATCATACACCATGACCAAGTGGGATTTATCCCAGGGTCACAGGGGTGGTTCAACATCCACAAATCAATCAATGTGATATACCACATTAATAAAAACCACATAATCATCTCAATAGATGCAGAGAAAGCATGACAAGATCCAACATCCATTTATGATAAAAACTCTCAATAAAACGGGTATAGAAGGAAAGTACCTCAACTTAATAAAGGTCATATATGACAAACCCACAGCCAACATCATACTTAATGGGGAAAAACTAAAAGCCATCCCTTTGAGAACAAGAACAAGACAAGTATGCCCACTTTCACCACTCTTACTCAACAAAGTACTGGAAGTTTTGGCCAGAGCAATTAGGCAGGAAAAAGAAATAAAAAGTATCAAAATTGGCAAGGAAGAAGTGAAACTCTCACTGTTGGAAGAAGACATGATTTTATATAGAGAAAACCCTAAAGAACCCATCAGAAAATGATTAGAAATAATCCACAACTACGACAAAGATGCAGGGTACAAAATCTACTTACAAAAATCAGTAGCATTTCTATACATTAATTAATAATGAACTAGCAGAAAGAGAAGTCAAGGATACAATCCCATTTATAATCACAACTAAAAGAATAAAATATCTAGGAATAAATTTAACCAAAGCACATAGGTGAAATATCTATACATTGAAAACTATAAGACATTATTGAAAGAAATTGAATAAGATATAAAGAAATGGAAAGACATTCCATGATCACAGATTGGAAGAATAAACAGTTAAATTGCCCATATTACCTAAAGCAATCTACAGATTCAATGCAATCCCAATCAGAATCCCAATGACATTCTTCACAGAAATAGAACAAAGAATCCTAAAATTTACATGGAACAACAAAAGACCTCAAATAGCCAAACCAATCCTGAGAAAAAACAACAAAGCTGGAGGTACCACAACCGCAGACTTCAAAATGTACTACAAAGTTATAGTAATCAAAACAGCATGGTACTGGCACAAAAATAGACAAATGGACCAATGGAACAGAATTGAAAGCACAGAAATAAAACCACACATCTATCAACAGCTAATCTTCGACAAAGGAGCCAAGAACACACAATGGAGAAAGGAAAGTCTCTTCAATAAATGGTGCTGGGAAAACTGGACAGCCACATGCAAAAGAATGAAAGTAGACCATTATCATGCAACATACACAAAAATTTTCTCAAAATGGATTAAAGACTTCAAGGTAAGGCCTGAAACCATAAAACTCCTAGAAGAAAATATGGGCAGTACACTCTCTGATATCGGTCTTAGCAGCATCTTTTTGAATATCATGTCTACTCAGGCAAGGGAAACAAAAGAAAAAATTAACAAATGGGATATATCAGACTAAAAAGCTTCTGCAAGGCAAAGGAAACCATGAACAACAACAAAAAAGGCAACCCACCAACTGGCAGAAAATATTTGTACATCATATATCTGACAAGGGGTTAATTTCTAAAAGGTAAAAAGAAGCCATACAACTCAACAACAGAAAAACAAACAACCTGATCAAAAAATGGGCAGAGGATATGAACAGACAGTTCTCCAAAGAAGATTCACAGACGGCCAAGACACACATGAAAAAATGTTCAACGTCACTAATTACTAGGGAAATGCAAATCAAAACTAGAATGAGATACCACCTTGCACCTGTCAGAATGGATTAATTACCAAAATAAAAAATAACAAATGTTGGAGAGGATGTGGAGAAAAGGGAACCCTCATACACTGCTGGTGGGAAGGCAAACTGGTGCAGCCTCTATGGAAAACAGTATGGAGATTCCTCAAAAAATTAAAAATAGGGCCAGCCCAGTGGCATAGTGGTTAAATTCATGTGCTCTACTTCAGCAGCCCGGGGTTCACAGATTTGGATCACAGGCACGGGCTTACACACCACTCATCAATCCATACTCTGGCAGCATCCCACATACAAAGCAGAGGAAGACTGGCACAGCTGTTAGCTCAGGGGCAATCTTCCTCACACATAAAAATAATTAAAAATAGAAATATGATATGATCCAGCTATCCCACTACTAGGTGTTTATCAAAAGAGACTTATGCACCTATATATTCATTGCAGCATTATTCAAAATAGGCAAGACGTGGAAGCAACCCAAGTGCCCTGCTACAAATGAATGGATAAAGAAGATGTGGTATGTATATATACAATGCAATACTACTCAGCTATATAAAAAGATAAAATTGTCCCATTTGCAACAACATGAATGGACCCTGAGGGTATGATATTATGCAAAATAAGCCAGAGAAAGACAAATACTGCATAATTGCACTCATATGTGGAAGATAAACAAACACATGGGTAAAGAGAACAGATTAGTGGTTACCAGAGGGGAAGGGGGCTGGGGGGAGGGTGAAAGGGGAAAAGGGGCACCTATGTATGGTGATGGATAAAAATTAGACTAATGGTGGTGAGCACGACACAGTTTATAAAGGAATTGATAAATAATGTACATTCAAAATTATACAAAGTTATCAACCTTTATGATTTCAATAAAATAACTGAAGAAAAAATAAAAATGTTCAGGCCTAAGAAAACCTCAACCTCAGAAAGGGCATCCATCTCCTCTCCATGAGCACGTGCACCCCCAGCTTTCCAGGGCTCTGCAGCTCCTCTCAGTATAGAGGCTCCTTCCATGGGGGGTGTGAGCAGTAGGACACCTGCAGGGGGGGCTCCCCAGGAAGAACAACTGGGCCTTCCAGTCCTTCCCTTTGCAGGCCCAAGGGGCCTTAGTTTGGGTCACCCACCACAAGCTTCTGCTCTCCCTGGAGA